GATATCCAGACATAATAATTTCTTTACCTTCATCGGCAATCTACTGTCAAGAAACTGATTGCATGGGCGTCGTTAGAGGGGAGGTGTGCTTGGGAGGGGGGAGGAGTGGAACACACCCCTAACCGTCAGGCATTTGGCAGATTTTATTGAATTCCAGTCTAGAAATTGTTTTCGCGTTGTCAGCAAAACCGGAATTAGATAGGGAGGGAGAAAAGGAAAATTTACGAAAAAACAGTAAAAGAAGAATATTTCTAGTTGTCGTAAAAACAAGGTGAAGAGGTACAACAACGTTTTCAATCAAATTTACTTGTACGAATTATTTCCGGCATTGCAATGCATATTGATTATATTTTGTAACTTCGTCCAAACGTATATTCTAGTTTTACAATCGACTAAGTCTATTATTCATCGTTTGTTACTATTCGTACTATTATATAATTTAATTAATTTACACTGTAAACAATATAAATGCGACCTTAACTATCTAATATCATCGTCGGTACAAACGCACTTTTCATCATCATTAAATACTAAGCCTAAGGCAATAAAATAACTAAACTTTTGTATTTCCAACCGCTAGGATTACACATTCATTCAAACACCGGTCTGTGATAATAGTTACAATTTTTCACGCTACTGATACAAATTATAAACTATTGTTATTTTACGCATGTAAACTCAAATCCCCACACACTCATAGTATCATTACATCATAATGGTTACATTATATATCTGAAGAAACAGTGCGGCGTTTTGAATGATGGCTTTAATGTGAAGTGAGTATCTGCAACATGAAATTTTGGAGATATTAACTTTTTCAATTAAGTTTGTAAATATTTGTGGAATTTTGAAGTATTTCAATAAAACCGTGGAATTTTCATAAATTTAGCAATAAGTCCACATCCTATATCCCAGTCTCAAGATATAGGAGGAAGAAATTAATGAAAATTGACTGTATCTTTGTATATTGGGCTACATTTTACCTTTTCTCGAAACTATACATACATTACTGCGACGAAATAGTACAATGAGAAGGTAAGAAATATTCATTACAATACAACATAATTCGTGGTTTACAGTTGACGTCATATGGCGGCCATCTTGAAGGAACGCTAACAAAAGAATCTCATTAACAGCCATTTGAAGCGTGTTTTCCTCCAACATGGCCGCCATGTCTTTGTCTTATAAAACCTCAAGGGATTGATTGCAAACCACCTATTTTACGGCCTGGCCTAAAAGACAATGATAGTTCACATTAAAACCCATTATTTAAAAGGCCGAACTCTGCCTTCAAGGTACTCGAGTTTAGATATATATAACAGGTCACAGTTTTATCTGTCTCGTTAATTGCTATTTTTAACAAGGCAAAACTGTTTAATAACAGGAAGCCGTCAGTAACATTTTTGTTTCAATACATCTATTTATCGTCATTAGATTAGTCTGAATATATGGTTCCCACTATTCCTCGGTAATTTATCGCCTGACACATGTCTGACGTTTATGAACATACAAATTTGTTCTTTCAAAAAAACGATCCAAACAATACTACTTCATATTTCTTTTCACAGTAATGACGCCGTCTTAAATCGCAATGCACTGTCACAGAGCATAGACTATACAGAGGTCCGACTCTGGAAAAATGCTGTAACCAATAGGTAGTAGTAACCTGTCGCCATGTTCGTTACCAGTGCGCTACTTATAGGCATTATCACCCCCCCCCTCCCCCCCGAACGTCTAAAAAAAGCCTACTATTTTGAACTTTTTCGAGTGGAGGGTTGACCTATCCTTAGCACGCTGGGAAGAAAATTCTTACAACAGCGCGGGGAAGAGACGTCGGACTTTTGTATAGTCTGTCTATACTCTGTGGTATTGTAGAAACGTTCTTTTTAATCATTTTGCAAACCTTAATGGTTAATATTTTGAAAGTTTTTGAACAGTGTGATCTTTGGAATCAACATGTCTCGACGCTATACTGCAAACCGCGTATGTTTTAGTTCATAACACTTGGAAAACTTATTTTTCAAGGCTGTACACAAGTTTATTCCAATTTTTTATTTTACAATGTTTTGTTTTCGTAAAGTGTGGTAAGTGCAGACCATATTCTCTAAGAATTTTTGTGATCTTCTGAAAAATGTAATGAAAAAGTGTTTCACAAAGATCACAGAAAAATCGTGAGTGGAAACCAGTAGTTATTCCAATACAGTAAACTCTATACAACTTTGATGCATTGCGTTTCCAAGATGGCGTTAATATTAGTAGGATTTGATGCATGTATTAAACTTTTATTATATCATGTCATCAACATGTCATTAAAAAGAAGCAGTTAAATTATATAGGTTCAAGAGACACCCTTTTCTTTTAGCTGTATTTTTTTGCTGTATTTCTATTATAAAATTAAGAATCTGGAATTTATCACTACTTATTTTCACACCGTGTTTTTCTTGCGAAAAAAATAAAGACAAGCTATGTAAAGTAAAGACCTCCCTGTAATAAAGGTAACCACATCCCTGGGTATTCTACTCCACCCGAGACATGTGCAATATTTTGTATTTTCTCATGTCGAGGAATATAAATTTTAATATAAAGTTCTGATTTTTTGCAACTGGTTAAAACACGAACTAGGATGTCTCTTCTACCCATGCATAAGATACTGTATACGACCGACCGATTTTAGGGGTCAAAGGTCCGTTTACAAACGGGATTATCCGCCATCAATGTGACTCAATAAATGGATGCCAGTTGATAAATTTCCAATATAGCTACGTAAAAAAATTCTAATTCGGCAGTTTTATACATTTTCTTTCAATTACAACTGTTCAGAGACTATCAATCTGAATAATCAGTCAATATAGAGATTTGAAATAAAATTACGGTCAAGTGACAAATAAGTGATTAATAAAATCTGGAGTAGTTTTACGTTTTTAGAAAATTGAAGGCGAAACCTTCATTTACAAGACATGTAAGGAAGGACTTTAATAGTGTATTTTCCACGTGATGTTGTCGCCCCCCCGCCAAAAATCCGATTGGTCAACAGGCCTCCACGTTCATTTCGCCGAAAAGATAAAATTATCTTGTCAACGAGAATTAGATTATACTAACCGATACTAGAACGTTCAAAAGCTTTACTAAATCTATGGTGTTTACTGCATCATGTTCAGGGTGATCCTAAAATTTCCGCTTGAAATTCAACGTCACTCCAATATAACCCACGTACAGCAATACACCTCAAACTTCCAAAAATTAAGACCAATAAAGACCAAAGAAGTATTTCTGAAATTGACGGTACCAAAGGACAGCCTGAGAGCCATGCATCTATATATATTTAACCTCAACATGTTACGCTTCGTCGAAGGCATTCAGTCTCACACAATGAACTCAACCATGTAAGTTTTATAACTTAAGTCTTCAAGATCATTACTTTCGCAGAAATATTTGAAAATAATAATCCGGATCAGTTTAGTTGATAAGAAATGTGTATCTGCCACATAAAGCTGATCATCATAAGAAGGAAAAAAGTTGAGTTGCACAGAATTGAAGACACGAAGCCATCCTAGAAACTCTAGAAACTGTTCTTACAAACAGCATCGCAAATTGGATGCTCACAAACATCATTACGCGATATCTAATTGTCATGCACTCATCTTCGTTATATCTTTGAACAAGTTCATTGATAGTTTTTGACCTCAAATTATCAATATACGTATTAGCTGGTTGAACAGGACCATAGCGACCGGGGGATATTAATTAGCGACTGAAATGTTCTCGGCATGCATGCGTCGCAAAATCAGGTAAAAACGTTAAGTTGGATAAATTCAGGTAAATTTAACCTCACACCCATTGGTACAACATGTTGGATAAAACTAAACTTGAGCGCAGGTGCACAACAAGTTTCAGTGTTGATGACCCCTAGACTCTCTCACAGCGTGCATGCATGAAGAAACATAATTTCTATAATGTAAACGAGATGGAAAAATATTTTGAAGTTTTATCTTAAAGAGTTTTATAAGAAGTTTTTTTTATCTAACGGAGAATTTAGAATGATTAAAGTCGCCAGTATACGTAAACACGTGAGTGAAACTGTTATGATTCCAGGTAATTTTCGAAATTATGAATCTTGAAATATTTGATATTATTCTTAAAAACCAAGATAAGCCTGTCACTTGAGGAGAGGTAGAATGCATTTATGAGTTCCATGTATGAAACATCTATTTTTATATGTACCTTCGCAATGGTTGCACCTTTTGATATGTTAACAACATGCAAACATTTGGGCAAAAAAATAAGCACAAAGTTAGACGGCACATAGCAAGCCTTTATTGCAGTAAATGACCAAAAACTAGCAATTGAATGTAAGCACGGTGTCCCGATTGAGAAGTCAATGCGACCTAACGAAAAGTCCCCGGCGAAAAAGTCGTCGTTATCGTCCTGTATTAGCCACAGGGAACTTCGGTGGTTCTGTAAGCCAGTTAAATACAGCGAATCCACCTCAGTCTTCAGATTATCCAATTTTCCAGCGGAATGCAATTCCCACCTGTTCTCACATCCCGCTTCCCATAGTTGATAACTTGAAAACGCCCAGCGATATAACAGAACAGCACACCGATCTGAACTTATTGCTACAGAACTGGCAAATATTGATTTAGGACATTGCTGAGAACAGAGCTTTTCGTTACAAATTTTAAAAATAGAAATTTCTCTTTCCTTATTGAGGGAGACGACAAGAACACCTTCTGCAAATTTCAGGACCGTGTGAAAATTTATATCGCATTCCTTGAGATTGTTTCCCAAGACTGTCGTGTTTGTCGAGTCATAAGAATATTTAACGACTACACCTCTACAAACCACCCAAAGATACGACTCTGACCACCAGCAAGCTTCCGGTGGATGTTGCAGTACAACATTTTGCAATGTTTCTCCATTATTGACACTCATGATTGTCAAAATACAGTTTTCGTAACAGCAAGCGATATACAAATTGTCTGGAGATACCGTACAACATTTAACAACACTGTTCACGAAATCTGCAACAGAAGATTCTTCAGTAGTTGTAAATGACAGAATAACTACAAGTATTGAATCAAGGCAAACAAGGAAATTTGTCGCATTTAATTTCGATAAGCAATTTATACGAGTGCCACAAGGCAAACAATCGATCTTAAACCTATCAATAACGTCTTGGTTGATAAAGTCATACACTACCAAAGTGGAAGAAGGGATCGAGAAAGCTACACACTTTCTATTTTTCCATGTAAATGACTTTGTACAACAACTAGCAGGTATTACGCAAATTATTTCGCCACTCGGCAAGTGGAAATGGCAACGCTCAATAAATGTGTGTTTAAGCGGAATTTCTCGTGGAAAAGTTTGATACTTATCTTTATCTGTAAAGCAAGTATCAGAGCATAACCGCTTAATTCCCAATTCTTTTAACGTTGCTGAATCCCAAATAAACAAATAACATTCATATCTTCTGATTCCAAAAATATACGCGTTACAGCTACTAAAACAACAATAGCTAACAGCAACGGGTGAAGTCATCTCAACTTGTACTAACACATCTTTCTTTTTCACATCCCACACTTTAACAATGCTATTGTACACTCCACCTAAACTTTTTTCTACTGTAATAAGTTTTAATCCACATGAAGAAAATGAACAGGATTCGATATTTGCAGGGCCATGTGGGATAAAGCTCTCTTCTTTTCTTTTTCTAATACAGACGCAAGACCTAATTGAATTGCATAGAAAATATGATGAATCTGGAGAAAATGTAAGAATTGAATGATGCATGTAATCCTTTTGACTTAATTCCGCTTGCTTTAATTCAAGCTCAAAAATTATTGTAAGACTTGGTAATTCAAAGACTGCTACTTTCAAGTTTAAGTATAAGCAAACCAGTAGCTTATTGTCTGGTGAGGACACGATGTGACGTAATTTATCTGAAAATACGGCATTGGAAATAATTCTATAATCAGAACCGTTTACATTGGTCACTTTCTCCAACCACATCTCAACTGCTTCATCCAAGACATGTCTAGCACTACTTTTACAACCAATACTTTTTTTCAGAAAATCAAAATACCCGTTAGCAATTGATTGCAAGTAAACGAAACGAAACGTTAGATATTCAGATTCAAGGATGCTCATGCTCCTGAAAATCTTCGAGATATAATAATGTTGGACAATGCTCAAATAAAGTTGCTCAGTAAGTATAGTTTTATACATCCTGAGAATACGGCAAAAATCAACATTAAAATTATCGCAAAACTCAAGTTTTAAAGCATTTAGCCTGACATGCACCAACCAATGAAAATCTTCTGTGTCACCAACAAACACCAAATATTCCCCGCCATTCTCCAAAGCATATTCTCTTTCACGAGTTAATTCAAAATCGGAAACAGTTTTCTGAAAATCTATCTCTCTGTATATTCTCTTACAAGCCTGCCAGAGACATTTAGTTCCCTCAGCAATATCTGCTGCAAATGCATGCTCCTCATACCCGTCTAACGTCAACCAATCCGTCAACGACTTATGATAGACAGTTAAACAATCGTTGTAAACTGGAAGAATTTCAGATATTATATTGCTAATTGCGTTACGTATTTCATACTCCTCATCCGACAAATATATGCATTCAAAAAGAATCTTAATTGGAAGAGGTGCCTTTGATGCAGAAACAATATTAACAAAACCCTTCAAAATATTTGGTTTAAAACCTTGGAGGCCTGCTCTCAAGTGCTTGAACTGTTTTTCGTAGAACCCAGAAATTCCTTTGGGGGCATAATCACTTATGTTGGCCTCGTCTACGAAATTCATTTCCTTTAACTCTTTCACCAGGTAGTAAGCGTACAAAAAGGATCCCTCACAATTTCGGACTAGCGCAATTATGTTATCTTCACTTAGGTTGGGCAAACTACCACGAAAAAAATGCTTTAGGTCCTGCTCGTGATCGTAGTCATCAGGATGGATTTCCACAGGATTGAAATGTTCAAGTTTCTTTTTTACTTGCAGCTCTGGTCTACTCGTAATGAGTATCTTCATCCATTTTGGCAGTTCAGGAAATTCATCGGATATCAACTCCAAAAACTCACTTTTGTCATCAGTTTTGCTTTCGTCCAAAGCATCCACAACGATCAACATTGGCTTACGTCTGTGAAGGGCATGTAGTGGATCGTGTAAAAGAACACGAAATGCGTCCGATAGCGAGTTTCGAGAATTTTCATGGCCAAGAATCTCAATTAGTTTATCACGAAATCCTTCAACATTATCGCACATTTGACTTGCAAGCGACTGGAGAATACTTGAAGGTTTGGTATAATCGGATTTTCTAAAGTCACAGAAATGGTATGCGGCGAGTTGACCACATTGTTTGAACAGCTCACAAACCTTTGCAGACAAGACGCTCTTCCCGACGCCGGGACCTGCAGTCAGGATCATAACTCCAGATTCTTCATCAGTAAACCAACTTGACAACTCATCAAAGAACCATTTTCTTGCACTATCTTGAAATCTTTTACACAGACCGTCAATCTTTCCGGTGAAGTCAAACTTGGCAAGTTGGTCGACTTTCGAGAGATTTGAAGTGGCCACTGTATCTCGCAGCTTCATAAATTCTTTTGCCATATCGTTAATTTTTCTTTCCACATCATCATTTTTTTCCAAAAGACCATCTTCTAGTTCTTTCCATTCCTTTAACTTCTCAACATAACTTTCTTCCTCAGAGCTGAGAGGAGTCACCTTTAATTCATCAATATCGCTACGAATAACTAATAACTTGATCAAAGGTTTCGAAATATCTTGCCACAATCTTTCAAACGTGGCATCATCATATTGAGCATTTGGAATATGACCATAGACCTCATTTCTGTACATTTTGATTCTCAAAATATTAGCAGTTATAGAGGAATCGCCGGCTGGGGGCATAACATTCCATCCTGCTGCTGGTGAAGGCAAGCCACAAATGTTTCGGAGCAGAATGGTCTAATAAAGTTATATCAAACTTCTTTGAATCTGGGTTGCCTGAAGGTGGAAAAAGTAACTGCCATTGCGAGGGTTTAATCACGCTGTATCTTATCCTCTGCAGGGTTCGTCTGTGGGAATTTAATGCAGCAGCTAAAGTGGCAGGCGGATGTATCACATGTAAAGCAGCTCTTAAAGCATCGCCTCCTTTGTCTATCAATAGCTGACATATTCTTGTAAAATTGGCTTTGGCTTTCAGCGGATCCATTGTTGTCTATCCTTTATCAATGAAAGTGCAATATTAATAAGTAAAAACAAGTCAATTATTAATTATATCGTCTTAGACGGTGGAGCGCTCTAACCAACTGAGTTACAGGATCAAGTTGTCGAGAGCTAACCGTACTGCACCACAATCGTAAGATCACAGGTTTGATTCTTGCAGAGGGCCTAGCTATGGTTGCTTTTTGGCATTAGGTCTAAAAATTTATAAGATTTTCATTCGGGATTTCCATCTACAAAAATCCACCACCATTTAATTCTATCGAGTGAGTTGCCGAAAATTCTAATAAGTGATCCCGATGCTTGCATTTGTGGTGCCAGGGGCGTAGGAAGCATCAAGAGATTAGGGGGCACCGGCTTCCAGGGGCACTTTTGGAGATTGAAAAGGGCATCTAAAAAGTTTTCCAGGAAATGCTTGAGACGGGAGGGGGGGGGGGACTTTTCCCGTCATACCATAGACATACCATACAGAAATTGAACGTTTTTGATCAAATTGTTTTTAAATTAAAGACATCGAAATTTCCAACAAAAAAGGGCACCTTTGATATAAATTTAGTATTTACACTTTTCATCACAAAAAAGCGCACCTTTGGTCCTTTGAAAAAATTGGGGGGGGGGGGACGTGCCCCCTGTGCCCCCCGATCCCTACGCCCCTGTGTGGTGCAGTCCGTTCGCACACGCTTAGAGCACCGCACCGTTGTACTGCGCATGAGCTGAAGAACTTTAACTCGTGTTCTTCATGACCATTTATTCTCCACGACTGGATGCTCAATGAACAGTAAAATAGTTATTACAGTTATAAATGGGCGTCAACAATGGGGAATTTCGTTCTCGACCAATAAGCGCAGTTGTTGGGAATATTGCTCTAAGCAAATCAGAATGCGTAATTGGTTACTGTAGGTAGTTTTCCTGCGAGCACAGTTTCCGGTAAAAACATGCATTTGAACAGAAAATTTAGGGTCCTAAACTTCGAGGGGGTCAGGATATTTAATTTTTTGATTGGATTTTATCGGAAGTAGAAACCAATTCCGCATTCTGATTGGCTTAGAGCGAAAATTTCAACAAATGCATTGATTAGCGAAATTCCTCCTTGTTATGGGCGTCGATACTAAAAGAAGTGAGAAAACGCAAAAACAATGTGTTATAAACTTATGGGAATTTGATGGGGTCTGTTAATTGTTATACCCTAAGCTACTGGAGCTGTCTCCCTAAACGACCAAAGAAAGATCGATAATTACATATTGGTATAAAATAGGTAATTACTTTTGTACACCCAGTCGGACAACTTGGTCTAATTGGTCATGCCACACAAATATTTCCGAGTTCATAGACCGTAAAAACAATTAATTTCTAAAGAAATGAATAATGATTTAAAGTTTGCATAGCATGACCTAATTGTCGAACTGGCTTCGCCACTGCTAGTGTAAGACATTGTGTTGCCTTATAGATTGAGAAGACCAGTATCACAAAAATATTTATTTATAATATATATTATTCTATACTAACGCCGACTACTTGTGGTGAATATAAGTAAAAAACGATGGAAAATATAATTAGTTATTAGAAACTAAAGAGCTAGAAATTGAAATTGAGTAGAAGGGCAACCCTGTACGCATTTTGACCTAACAGCTTGGGAGGGGTGTAGGCTAGTGGTTCATGTATAGAAAGGAAGGAGTTTTGGAGTTAGGATTAAAGTATAGAATCGCGAGATTAACAAAATTATATAAGTTATCCTACCAAATTTTAACAGTACGACAACGGTAGTTGCAACATGCAATTATGCATTCAAAGAACAAATATGGAACGCCGCGGAGTTGTGAACGCTTATTTTGAAAACATCATGGTTTTACCATGTACGTAATGCACAACCATGGAATATTTTTGAAGTATTACCATTACCAACCGGCGTCAGTGACGTTGACTGAAATAGGAAGGTTTTGTGCGAACGCTAGTAGACAAGCTCGAAGAAACAGGTATGGATTTTCTCCCAACTGATGACAATTGACGATTTCCATTATTACTTTTCGTAGCGCTTTGCATTGTGGTTATAGTTATAGTGGTATCACTAATACAGATAGCGGCTTCGAATGGAAATATTGAATGTTTTCCCCGAATATTTGCTGTTGGCCATCACGCACCTGCCCTAGCTCTTTTTAAAAGTTCTTGCACGGGTCAGGACAAAACATCAGCCATCTTGAATATCAGTGATACCACTATAACCACGATGCAAAGCGCTACGAAAACGTAATAAGGGGAATCTAGTATTGGCGAGAACGGAATTTTCAAGATTTGTTGAAGCATGGCGAAAGTGGATCGAAAGGAAGCCCTGCCAACCACGAAAGACGTTGAATGAATACTCGAGTGGATCATTTTACAATACATGCACACGACTGCGTGTCCAAACTAGACCACAAGACAATCAATTATAGCAATGCAACCAAAACTGCGAAAACGTCTCTGTTTTAAATGTTTTGATCCAAGGCATAAAAATCCGTCAATTTGTAAAAGTCCACCAAGGAGAATTAACCTAAAACACAAGAAACGAACAGCAGACGCTGTTGTAGCTGTGCATTCAGCCAACGTGTGCAACGATAAAAAAATAGAATGCAGTTGATATCGTCAGAGAGCGTACCAGAGCATGTCATAGTCACCACAACGTGGTCGGTAAGAGTGGTCAAGCAGAAAATAGAAAGCTTCCGATTATGATGATTGGTCGAGGATAGAAGATAATGAGTGAACGAATGTCCAAACACCGGGCCGTTGCTAGTCGCTACAAAATCAACTGTAGTGCGTGAGCTCGTAAGAAAGCAACTTAATCCTGTATGTTGTAGCCCTCACCTCAGATATGAAGTAACCTTTCTCGCAAGTGCGAATTTGCAAAGAGAAGAGAGATGCTGTAAAGATATTCTTTACAGTAAATAGGAACTTTATTATTGCTCTTTATAGCTTTTATATAGTCTATATTAAATTGTTTTTAAACCATGCTTTTTATACAACCAGTCTCAAGTCACATGACTATAGGTTCTGTTATCCGGTGGACAAAGCCCTGGGTATAAAGTCCAGTAGATATCGTTACAGATGCTTTGAGATTTCACTGGTTAAAAATGCAAATTAAAGATACTTAAAGTACCTCTTTTCCATCTCTCTTGGGTAGAATGATAGTGCAACATCTGGAAGAGTTGTTGGGGGCTAAATCATGGGGGTCGAGAGAATACTCCCCAGGAAACATTTTGTGCTTCCGAAGCCTTGGAAGAGCATTTTCCATTTTCCTGAGAGGACTGTTTATCAGAGTTTCTTGCATTCAAAAAATTCAAGATTTTGTACAACAGATTTTGCACAAGATTTTGTCACATTTTACAACTTTATCCCTCCAGTTTTGAAACAAGATTCGCTCTGTATGCAACCACAAGCATGACTGAACTGGTTTTGTTCTCCGATTGATATATACACAATATCAATGAAACAACAAACTGTTACGGATAAGTTGATTGTAATTGCCTGCGAAAGAAATAAATAAAGTATGAAAAGAAATATAATCCATATAAGTGAGAAAATTATTGCGACCAAAGGCGCAATTAGATCAGCTTATAAAAAAAGGAAGCACCAGCCACCAAACAGGTGTTTATAACGAAAGTGGTAAAGTTCTATCATCCATTGGGGTTGGCCTCACCATTGTCACTCTCTGGGAGGATGTGTACCGAGACGCGGACAACTTTAAATGCGGATGGAATCAATCTCTACCTAAATACCTCGTTAAGCATGGAGACAATTAATGGGAGGGAGAACCAACCACCAGCACTACTGTTCATGCATTCGGCGATGCGAGCCAAAATGGAGCAGCCACTGCCACCTATGCACTAGTGTCTCAACTATCTAGGCGAACGCAGGGGATCGTTACAAACAAAGAACGACTCGCCAAACAAATGGTTACTATACTTAGCAGGAGTTGGTTGCTTGCCACGTGACTGCTAATCTTGACACTAATGTCAAAATCGTACTTGGATGTTTCTCTGCAGCAAACCCGTACTGTTGACCAACAATTACTGACAGAAACTTACGCCCGTATTCTAAAAGCTGTTTTTGAATAGCTGGAGGGTGAGTAGTCACATAGTAAGGTATGACACTAGCCCTCCAACTATTCAAAAACAGCAATAACACTCGAGAGAAGCTCAGATTCAACCTCCACTCATTGAGTGTGAGTGTGAGTGAGCTTTTAGAATACGGGCAAAGACAAAGAACTTTTGTCTTCTGGATTGTCTACGGTGGAATTAACGCCGTTCGTAAAAAAATAGGTTGCTCTCTTACGACAGCTAGCAAAGAAACTTGCACCTCAGTTGAGTTTTTCATATTTAAGCGCGTGTCACAGCCAGACGTGGAAGACCTGAGAAATGTACTCGGACAACGATCGAACCTTTGTTGGAAATGCATCGTAGATGAAAGAAGATGTATAAGATCAAGTGAAAAGCTGAATGGCTACTACTCACCAGAGCATAGCGTGGCAGTTTAATCTTAGTCACACTGGTCGGTTGGACAATTTGATGGCTGGCCCAGTGAAAGGAACTCCAAGAAAACCTATTAGAAAAAAACTCTGATGTTCATTTAACGAAAGAGAAATCCTATTCGATAAGCTACTATTATTCCACGTAGGACATGATGTTGGAATGACGTTGATAACGTTCGAAAGCCAGTCTCCTCCGCAGAGGCTTTATTTCATTTTATTTATATCCAGAAAATGTTGGTTGTTGAACTACAGCATAATTTTATTATGTAGTCTTCGCGTTTAACTACAATTACACGACTCTGAGGAGGAGAGGGTTGAAAGTACAATGTACTCTTAGCCTAATGTTCTTCTCCAGTTGGAATCAGACTCCGAGAAACCCGTACTCTTAAGGAAAAGATCGAAGTACTTCAAAAGAGAGACAATGATATCATACGGTGTTAAGAGGCAGGATTAGTATAATGAATATTTACAAGGTCTGCATATATGCGCGAACGAATGCGAATCTCAATTAGCACAACAGATCATCAGGAATGGTGAACTGCATGAAGAGCGAGTCATACATGAAAGACAGAAATCACTGAAAATTAAGGATTGTGGAGGGCGTGTTGCCTGGTGGACGATGTTGTACGAGCTGTAAGACTTGGGGTGGGGAGAATCCAACATGAAATTTCTATACAACATCTTTATCCGATAGAGTGAGCTGTGACATAGAAAGAAATACGCAAACAAAGAGACGAGGATAATCTGTATAGACTCAGCTCAACGTTGCAAAGGTAGCGATAAGTGATATTGCAGAAAATGAGAAGAAACTTATTACGATATTATTACAGTCATACAGACGACAAGTGTCTTTTTTTTATTAATATTTATTTTCAGGAAGCTTTCGGACACCAAGCGATTTTCAGAAAGGTCCTGAACTAAATAAACAAATTTACAAGGAAGACATGCATGCATATGCTACATAACTATGAAAAATATTTTAAAAAATAATGAGGGGTAATGTAATGTGGGGTTGTAATGAAGGATAGCGCTTAACCGGGATGGAATAACTATAGCATATATAAGTGAGCTTTAATCATGTTATACTCATGGTATGATATAGGCATGAAGTCAGTTCTGTTAGTCCGTGGTATCTTTGAAATTGAAGACCACATTAATTAAATGTTCACTATTATCAAGTAATTAACACATGAAAAATTTAAAAACCTATTGTTAGTTTGTAACAATTTATTTCAAAAATAAATTAGGATTAATAAGGCACAACATGTGTAGCTACCTATTACCTAAAAAGACAAGCAAAGAAATTAAAACAACCGCTTCACTTTTAGCAACATCTGTCAAACTCTGTTAAGACTATAATCACGCTTTGCTAAGCCTACATTCTTCAGTTATCAGCATGCAAAAAGCTATTCTTAATCTGTACTGATATTAAAAATTTATATATAATAGTGATTATTTATCATTTTCCCTGACCAACATGTTTCCCGTGGGGATCTACACTTTGTTTCGATCAGTGCCGGAAAGTGGTGTTTACACGGGCACACTTCGCCTACCTGTGAAGCACACACCGGCACACCGGCAAGAGTAAAGGCCGGTTTCCATTGTAGTTGCTTTGCCCACGCGGGCGAGCGGGCTTTGAACAGAGGCGTAGCCAGGATTTTTGGTCAGGGGGGGCAGCAAAAATCCCAGGTGGGGCCAGAAAAATTTTCCGGACCACAACATTTTAAATCTCTCCGACCACCCCCCCCCCCCCCCCCCCCCCCCCCCCCCCCCCC